ATTAAAAATTTAAAATATAGATTCTCATAAATTGTTCTTATTATGGCCAACAAATCTAAAAATATATATAAACACAGTTATTTCTTATAGACATTTTAAATTCAAATTGTGAATTTTTMTTTCTTTATTTTAAATAAAATAAAATTTTTTAATTACATCTAGATTAGTATTCTTGCTCTACGATAAGAGGTATTACCTCAGTATATAGAGCAAAGCTAGCAAATTCATATGTTAACCATACACTTTGTTCACATTTTTTATCAACTACTAGCAATAAATAAATTTATTATTATTAAACAAAAATTTGGACGAAATTACATATTAAATCCAATAATATCGATTTTKGTTATTTTGTTGTAATTTAAAAATAAATATTATTCGTGGATATAAGAAACTTTTAAGAATATTATTGTATTTTATACACACAATGACATTTTCAAATGTATTTTTTTGGGGGRAAATGAATTTAACCTACTGTAGAAGATTACTACTAAAATTAATTACTTTAATCACAATAATATTATAAAATATGCCTATATTGCCTACCTATAGTAATATTATAGACATACCGTCTCAAAATCTCGTTTTTCGTACACAATAATATTATATCAATGAATTCAAATTTAATACCATTCATTACAGTGACCTACTATTATTGTAACATACTGTAAGCCTGGTCTGGCCGAACACAAGCCAGTCCCGCATTTTAAAATACCTAATCAGAAAGCTAGGTTTTTATGTTTAATAATATTTTATATTACATAGGTACTTATTACTTATTAGATAATATTTTAATTTATTATTTCACCATTATAATATTAATAAATATATATTTTATACCAGCAGCGGGGCCCACCGGGAAATTTCCCGGTATCCTGGTCGTCCAGTCCGCCACTGCAGTAACATAGTACTATTTTCCATATTAATCAGTAATTAATCAATTAAAATGTTCAACTACAAATTATATGTTGATATTAAAAAGTAAATACAAACATATATTATCTTATTATAACATAATATATGTATATTGTATGACTTTTTGATACATAAATTATAATAATAATAGGTACTCTTAATAATATATAAATTAAATGTGTAATGCTTATATTATCATTTTAATGTTAAACTGTTCAAGTGGATTTTTTTTTACTTTTTTAAACAATTCAAATGTTATATAAATTATACATTTATACCTATGATAAAATGTTATATTGTTGAAAACTAAAGGAATTTGTGACGCTTAATATTTTTTCATTATTACTTACGAAAAGTACGTAGCTGAACCCTGGGATGTGAAACCTCTGGGTCCACGAGTTAAACATAAGCTTTGGCTTTCACATTGTTAAACAAGGAAAACCTACTAATCAGTCTAAAATTTACAGTTGCCTATATTTAATAATACCAATATTAAATGTGTTTAATTGGATAAATTTGTATTTAATCTGTAATT